TTTTAGTCATGGGTATTTCTAGTAAAAGTCATGGACAGGTCACAGGCCGTGAATTGACTTGTCCGTGACTTTTACTAAAAATACGCATGACTAAAAGGTACCCTTAGCCATTAGTCCTTTATCAAAGATCAAATGTGGCACATTAAGTAGGTATAAACTGTGCAAAACAGAAGTTATAAATCCAGCTGGCTCCTATTTTGTTTGAAAACCAAAAGCCAAAAATGTGAAATATATGGTTTGCCTCTTTGACAGGATCTATAAACCTTTGTTTCATGAGAAGAATTTTGCTCACATTAGTGTCTGTGTTGCAGGTTCTGAGAGTACTACCAATGAAGATTATCAGAGTATTGCACTATACTTTGAAGGAGAAAAAAAACATTTTCAGGCGGGCAAGTTCTTTTTGCTGTGCGGTCAGTATGCCCGGGTTAGTATTCAGAGAGTTAAACAGCAACAGTATTTAAATGCGCATAGCAATGGTTGTGCAAAACACTGGATTCCAGGATTATTACACTTCCTAAAGAGCAGAAAAAAAATAGGCTTTTTATCTGCTTCCTCGTATTTCACATTGATGCAATCAGAAGAAAAAATATTACTGTCCTACCTACAACAAAACTTCGAGGAAATTATTTCTTCCATTAAATAGAAAATGAATAAAGGGTGAATGCTATATATTATGTTATTCAGCCATGCACATAATTCTTATTGACAGCAGTAGAAGCTTCATATGGATCGTAGACATAATATATCTCTAAGTGATACATGAACATACCGTATATACTTGATCATAAGCCGGTTCGTTTATAAGCTGACCCCCCCAAGATGGATAAGTAAAAATGGAAAATTTTTATGACCCATTCATAAGCCGACGCTATAATTCAGGGGTCAGCAAACTTTGGCTCCTGGGCCATCAGGATAAGCCGCTGGTGGGCCGAGATGGTTTGTTTACCTCGAGCGTCTGCAGGCACGGAGGTAAACCTAAGTAAACAAAGTGTCCCGGCGCACCAGCTGCTTACCCTGACGGGCCAGGACAGCAACTGATGGGGAAATGTTTTTTGGGGGGGAGAAGCTGGGAGTCGGGAGTAACCCCCGCGACCACCCCCCGTGTGACCCCATCCCTAGCCTGGGACCCCCACACTCTCCCCATCCCATCCCTTCCCACCTTATCTGGGGAGGGCCAGGGGAGGATGTCTCTGGCCTGGTTGGAGCTGCTCCGGCAGGCTGGGCAGCACAGCTGCAGCCTGCTCCGGCGGGCCAGACCAGGTAGCACAGCTGCAGCATGTTCCAGCGTGCTGGGCCGGGCGGCGCGGCCACAGCCTGCTCTGGGGGACGGGGCCAACCCCGGAGCTGCAGGTGCTTCAGAGGCTAGGGGGAGAGCAGCGTGGCCAGAAGTGGAGAGACTCTGGCCCTATCTCTTCCCTTCTGGCTCTGCTGTCTGTGCTGCCTCTCCTTGCTCCCTCTGTTGGGGGGAGGGGCTGTGTCCCACCTATCCCTCTCTATACCCGTTCAATAAGCCGACCCCCTTCTCTGGTGCTTCCCTTTTTTACTAAAAAAATTCAGCTTATGAACGAGTATATACGGTAGTTAGTTTAGTTACTGTTTACTTGCTTGTCTGAATGTTCAGTTGTAGAAAAAACTCATTAATTGATTAAATACTGTAGCTTATTGAAACACAATTTTTAAAGGAAAGAGTATGCAAATTAGCATATTTTTTATAGACTGGTTACAAGTTGCGTGTGTCAGCTGCTGCATATTAAGCAGAATGTTTATGTCCTGACAGCAAAAAAGCAAGGTTATGAATTTTTGAAAATTATCAACTGCTGGGGATGGGACCATTGTAGGTGACCTGCTCCTCCCAGTGAGTCAGTGCCGTATTAACCCTTGGTTGCAGCACTCTGTAATGCCCCAATTGAGCAGATCTCCTCTCATTGCTGGCTGTCAGTGCTGAGAAGAAATGTGCCAGGACTAGGCTGCGAATGCTCCTGCTGTTCTGATGGGGCCATGGGAGTGAGGAGGAACCAGGGTGGGTATGGGTGATGTGCTGGATTGTAATTGTCCAGCAAGCCCTTCAGAAAGACTTCATCAGTATATTTTTTCCTACAGCAGTTTTTGGGACAGCAGCTGATGCCGCCATGGTCCTGGTGTGGTCATCCTTATTGATCATTTTCACTACTTTGTGACTCAGTTGACTTCAGATTCATATGAAACAACACAAATGCTCTCAACGTGTGCTCAGGGATCACATAATTTTAATGTAATCAAAGGATGTTTGTCCTTCCTTCCCAGATGCTGCAGAACTAGATGAATTAAAAATAGGGGAAAAGATTTTATAAAGAAAATACCATGTCATTTATCTGTTATATCCCTGTATTTCTATTTTTGTTTCAGGCACTAAAACACTTTCTGAAAAGTCCAACCACAGAAGATAACATGGCTATAGAAATGGCTATTGAAACAGTAAGAAACATTGATAAACCTAAGAAATTGAATATTCAGCCTGCTTTTCAAGTAAACTGTGTCTCTACTGTAATGATGTCGTCCTAGTGTTTAGCAGATTTTGAATAGCTTATAGCTGTAAGGAGGAAGCTGCAAGAGTAAAAGCAAGGGTTAAGGTAAAAAGTTCCTGATGCCATCCCAAATAATTTTCTTAGCACTGATGCTGAAAAAAGGGAATGTAAATAACATATCTGTTTGTAATTCCAAATCTAGATCTTGTTAATATTTAATGGATGCAATTTAAAAACCTGTTAAATAGGTAGTAGTTTATGAAATCCTTGCCAGAGTGTGTTAGATTTTCAACATGGACTTCAGCATGTCAAAGAGAAGCTGATCAACCAAATAGATACCTACTTTACTGCATTTTGAGTACATAACACCAGTAAAAACATGTTTTAAATATATCTAAGTTCAAAGGTTTTCTATGGAGAAATCTAATTCTTTTCCCCCATATTTCAGGCACATGTTGACATTTTTCCTCTGTCTTTAATAGGTGGGACAGGCAAAAGATGAAGCACTAACCAATCAGCTGATAGACTACCTTATGGGGGAGAGTGATGGCATGCCCAAGGTACTATATTCCTATCACTCTTTTTTCTCCAGTTTCTGTTCTACAGGATGATTTCTTTTATTTTTTTGCCCTTCAAAATACACCTACACCTAGTAGATGTAGATTGCTTTTTTTGGATATATAAAAATAGTTCTGGACAAAGTGCTCAGCTTCCATTTAAGTTCCTAAATTAAATGATCAGATTTTCAAAAGGGCTCACTGCGAAGCATCTCCCACTGATATGTGGACAATGGGTTCAGTAGTTATTTGGAAATCTAGCTACTTCATTTAGCTACCTAAATGGATGCTGAGCTTTTTTGAAAATCTGGCCCTTTATTTTTGTACTTCATTATCTAATATCATACAATTTTCAAAGTTGAAAATGATTTATTACAGTCAATTCCAACTGCAAATATAGGGTATGGTTTCTATAACTATACTTATCTTAGATAAAAATTAAGTACACTGTGTTGGGATATACAATTCCATATGTGATCTGTACACGACTACATAAAGCGTTTATAGTAAAAAGAAAACTAAAGATTAGCAAATCCATATCTTGAGTTTCTAATGGCATATTTTATATATAGAATAATCAGTTATTTAACACTAAGAATATAAAATATTGTAGGTATTTATTTTTTATTGTGACTTATGGGAAGTCTTTTTGAGGTCACAGAGTTTAAGGTCAGTAGGGATCACCAGACCATCTGGTCTGACCTCTTGTATCTCACAGGCCACCAACACCACCTTTACATTCCTGCAGGAGCTTTACGGATTTTTGCTTTTATCTCCCTTCTGGGAGCCCCCATTTCATACCCAGCATCCTTTATACAAAGAGGACTAAATAGAACTTCTTTTGGAGTCCATAGGTCACTTCTCCCACCATAGGTAGTGATGCAGGCACGGGGAACTGGTAGACTACCACCAATAGGCTGTACTAGTCCGTCTTCCCCTTTTACGTGCTATATTTTTTGTATTAGTTGTCATGTTTGTGTGCTTGGTTAGTAATGTTAACCAATGGTGTTAATCCTGCTTGTTAATGCCATAGGTCTGATGTTAAAAGGAAGACTGAGAATACCAAATATATTTCAGGGTAAAGGGCTCAGAGAAGAGAAATTACAATGTCTTCAGAGGTGAAATTCTCTTCTCATATCCACACAACCAGTCTCTACTTCAGTATCTTAATTTCCATACATGTGCAAACCACCAACTAGGTGAGCAAAATATAGGAGTGTGGATCTGAGAAAATAATTTTGCCCATATTATCTTTGCATGATTATTTTTCATGTAGGTTTTAAAATAAACTAGCATTGCTAACAGCCGTCAGATGGTGGTAATTTTCGGGTAATTCAGGTTCTCCAAGATCCTCAGTGGCTGAGCTACAGAAGGCACTTGCTCCCATACATACACTGCATCAGAAAGACTCTGCAGGGTCTCTGCAGTATAATCTCCACAGTCCTGTAAATTCAGAATCACAAATTTATGCTCTGTAGGCATGGAGCTGGGTTTGACAGCTGTAGAGATGACACGTAGTTGCCGCTGAAGGGCTACAAGCCCTCAGAATTCTAGTTGCGGTTTGCAACTCTGTAGTGAGGTTGCAGAGCTCCGGCCTCTTCCTTGCTGTGCTGTATTATAGGGCCAGGATTTGGTCCTTTGGGCATTTAGTGACATTTCTGTCTTTTTTTTAATTAAAAAAAAAAATCTCTGCACTTTGAGCAGCTGCTTTATCTGTCTTTGTTGGGTGCTGTTTTGATGTAATGTTACCTTTCATCAGACATTTGGATGACATCAAAATTGTAGAGGGAACATACACTCAGGAGGACAGAATTCAATTGCAAAGTGACCTGGAGAGATTAGAACTGTAAGGGCTGTGATGGGACATCTGGTACTAACAAATATTGCTGCACACAGATATAAACTGTGGGTGGGACATGGACTGACTGTCACATCCTGTCCTTACCTTATTTTTTCTGTAAACCACAACCAAGCACCCTGGTTGCCTCGGGGAATGTGTGGGATGGGGAATTGGAAGTAACCCACAATATGAAAAAGTTTGAGAACCAGTTCTAATGGTTTAATTTTTTTATAAAACATCATGGCATTGTGGGAATACACTCATTGAAATGTTTAACATTGTTTTGCAACTTGTATGAAGGGCATTCTTTTTCTCATTTAAAAGCTCTCTCTTGTTCTTCTGAATGCTTTACCCCATCTGCCATAGTCTCTCTCAGTGAGTAACATCATTTTACTTTATCAAATCATAGTACTGTAACTTGTTAAAAAAAAAAAAAATTTTTAACTTCATTATGGTGTAGAGGCAAATGCCTGACCGAAATTCTCAGGCAATCTGAATCACATTTTTATAGAATAACATCTTTTAGATGGTAGAATTTTTATTTCACTGAAGATAAAATCTAAATTGAAGTAGCCATACAGCAGAAATTTGTTACTCCTCTCTTCACTTATTCCCAAACTAGATAATTCTCAGAATAGCCTGGTTGTTTCACTCCACTTCTCAATAAAGAGTTAATAGTGAGGTGTTATATTACTAAGCCTTTACTACATTTATCAAAATGTTTTTATACCCTTTGTATTCTAATATAATATATTAATAAATTTATTACATATAATACTAAACTACACTTGTCAAAATTAAGACAAAAGGATTCTGATCCAATATCCTTGATTTATATCCTGTTTGTTTGCTTCCTATAATGCATATCTCCTAGAGTGTTAATTAACAAGATTCTGCTGTTCTGTGTTTATATTTTAAATACAAAAATGTTTTAAAAATTGAAAACAAGCAACCCTGGAAACAAAATTCTGTAAAGTTGCCAAATTCCAATAAAAAAGAAGTAATTGTCTATTGAATATTAATAATATGTTTTCCAAAAGTTCTAAGAAGGATATTTTCTATTTAAAACTGTTTTCTCTAATTTTTAAAATGTAAGCCAAATTTAAAAGCATACAATATCAAATTAAAACATTTAGGGCCATATTTAAAATAAACTGGACTCAACTGAAGATGTAAAAATAAATTATTTGTAGACACAATTTGAGTCATTTAGATATGTTACCTTAATTGCATCCACAACGAGGGATATAGGAAACACTATACCAGGTGAGGCTAGTGGTCCATCTTCTGACAGTGGTCAGATGATGTTTTGGAGGAAGGTACAAAAAACCGTGTGGTGGACAATTATGTAATAACCTGATGATAGGAGAGTTTTCTTCCTAACTATAGTCAATTAATTATTGCATTGTCCCATCTAATACAATATATTATCCTATCTAATGCAACTGTAGATAGTTTCATTATCTATAGGAATATCTAATTTTTTTAAATCTCATTAAGTTATTAGCCTTTGTGGCAGTGAGTTCCTCAGGTTAAGTATGTGTTATGTAAAATTATATTTCCCATTATCAGTTTTAGTGTCTCTTTTCAATCTCCATTGAATGTTTTTTTTTGTTGTTGTGAGGGCGGGTATGTAAGTCTCTATTTTGTTAACCTCTGTCATGTCCCTCTTATTTGTCTTCTCCCTCAGTTGAAGAGTCATAATCTTTTCAGTCTCTTCCTTATATGGAAGTTTCTCCATGCCTTTAACAATTTTCTCACCTTTTTCTAAACTCCCTCTGTTTCCACAGTGTATCTTTTGAGATATGCTGAATGCAGTATTCCGGGGGAGGGTACACCATTGATTTACATAATTCCATTATCATATTTTCTGTCCCATTCTATATATATCCTAATGCCTTTTGTTTTTATGACTACTACAAATTGAGCAGAGGTTTCTGTTGAACTGTCTATAATGCTACCCAGGTCTTTTAGATGAGTGGATTGTAGTTAATTTAGAACCCAGCAATGTGTATAAGTAATTCAAACTATTCTTTCCTATTTGCATTACCTTGCATGTCAGCATTGATTTCATCTGCTGTCATTATGCCAACTTGTCTAGTTTTGTCAGGGTCCCTTGTCAGTTTTCATCCTTCTTGACTAACCTAAATATTGTTGCATCATCTGCAAATTCTACCCATTTGCTCACTACCCATTCCAGCACAGTAAAAAAAAATATCAACAACAGTGGTGACACTTTGCAATTAGTCTTTTCCCATTACAAAAACTGATCATTTACTTCCACTCTTCGTTTTATGTCCTTAGACCGTTTCTAAAATACTTAGCTTCTCATTCCATGACTACTTAATTTCCTTAATAAACTCTTGTGAGGGCTCTTTTTCAAAGGCATTTTGAAAGTCCATATAAATAGCCAGCTAGTTCTCTCTTATCCATCATTTGTTGCTGCTACTCAGAGAATTCTAGTAGTTTAATAGAGCATGATTTGTCTTTACCGAAACTGTGCTAGTTTGCTGCTATCATATCACATTCATCTAAGCGTTCTAGAATTTTTTTTTTTTAATTATTCAGCCAATTTTCCTGGTACTGAAGTAAGACTTGCTGGGCTGTAATGTCTAAGATTACCCCTTAGCACCTATTTTAAAGCTAGACGGATACCTTTGCTACCCTCTAGTCCTCTGGTATAGTAGCTGACTTTAATGAGAGATTACATATTTTTCATAGCAGCTCAGCCTCTTCATTCTTAAATTCCTTCTCATCTCTTGGGGTCTATCTACACTGCAGTTAAACACCCATGGCTCCCTGTAGTCTGAGCCCTGCAAGCCCATGTCAGCTGACACGGGCCAGCCACAGGTGTTTAATTGTAATGTAGCCATACCCTTGGCTGTATACCATCTGGTTCTGGTGACTTACTACTCTTCAATGGCTGGGTTTTATCACCCTTACTCAAGCAAAATAGTATCTTAGTCCATGAGAAGTACTGCTGATTTCAAAGTGGTTTCTGGCAGAGTAAGGTGGTATTTTTGTGTAAAGGTGGCAGAATCTGGCATTAATTTATTCTCATCTTATTCCTGCACAACCTCTTTTGATACCTCAGTATCTGATAGTACGTCATTTTTATTACCTGAAAAGAGAAGGTCTCTCCAACTTCCTCTGTGGTGAAGACTGATTTAAAAACATAATCTAAGCTTCTCTGCACTGCCCTTAACCTCCTTAAATTGCTCCTTTTATTTCATGATAAATCCAGTGGACCCACGCATTCTCCTGCAGGCTTCCTGCTTCTGATCTACTTAGACTTCCTTGTTGTTCTTTTGCAGGTGCAGCTAAAAAAAGGAGTAATTTTAATTCATTGTTCTTTATCTTCTATTGAATCAGGGGCTATTGCAATGAGCCATACAGAACAGAATTTCAAGGTCAACATTTTAGCATCAGTACTTTTCTATAATAGTTTTTTTAATTACAACTCAATTTATAATTATTTAAAAGGTTCTTGTAAAATAAAAGTTGTATACTTTTTTTTTCATAATTGTTCCTCCACTACAAATTTACTGTAGAATACCAAAAAGCAGAAACAAAACCCATAGGTATATTTCAAAAACTTTTCTGATTGACTAGCTGAATCAGTGTCCAATTTCTTCAGTATTAGTCACCTCATGATCAGTGTGCTTTTTCTTCAACTTTTTTCAAGCAGATTATGTATTTTAGAATTTCTCATATATCAGCAGATGTACATGAATGTTACATTCCAGCTGAAAGAGGGATATCTTTCAACTGTATTTTCATGTACTGTTTGTTAAGAATGTAATAATTTCCCTGATTGTTTCCTTCCTGAAACTAACCTCTTCCTCAATCCAAGAGCAGTTTGGGACTTATTGAGGAGAAGTTTAGAAACAATCCTAATCAAGGGGTGGAGGTTCAGTAAAAATTTCTCCTTGATGGAGAGAAGGGAAGAGAGATTTCTGCTCACTACTTCCCCAAAAAAATATTTAAAAAGCTAGTTTAGCAATGAAAGAAGTGGGAGTACTGAATCACAGTTTTGTTTGCACTGCCACAGGCAGAGAACACGATGCACAGGCAGACAGGGTATGGCCAAGCCACAGAATTCACAGACAAATCTGAACTGCCTCTTGACATTTGCTTGAGATAGAGAGAGGTTAAGATCTAGAAGATGATACAGCAGTATATGTTCCATTAGCAAAATTACTTTTGTATTGTTCTGATTAAGGACGCCAAGTATCTGTTCCGCTTGTACATGGCACTAAAGCAATACAGAGAAGCTGCCCGAACTGCCATAATAATTGCCAGGGAGGAGCAGTCTGCAGGTAGGTCACTCAATACTCTTAATTTATTCTGTTTTTATTGATGTGACAACAGGATTCCATTTTCCATCCCAGCAATATTTTAGATACTACCACTCGTAGGAGTGTGCTCAAAGAAGGGCATATATTAATTTTAGAAAGACCTCCTCCTTGTGTGTACCAACGATTTTCTCTTATATCCAGTCTTTATCTGGAAGTGTGAAGTTGCCGTTATGGGAGTTTAAAGCACTCTTATAGGGTGTGTATACACTGCAATTAAAAACCCGTGCCTGGCCCATGCCATCTGACTTGGGCTAAGGGGCTGTTTAAATGCAGTGTAGACATTCTGGCTTGGCCTGCAGCCAGACCCTCACACTTTACAAGATTCTAGAGCCTGGGCTGTAACCTGAGCCAAAATGTCTATACCACAATTAAACAGCCCCTTAGTGCGAGCTTGAGTCAGCTGGCATGGGCCAGCTGTGGGTTTTTAATTGCAGTATAGACGTACACCTAGTGACGGTAGTACGTGGAGCCCTTTGGAAAGTGAGATTGGAAAGTCATGGAGAGAGTCTCTTAGTTTCTTTTATTTCATTCCTAGTAGATTTATTAGTAGAGACTACCTAGAACTTCACTTTTCCCCATAATGGAGGCCTGTTCCTTAATTGCAGTGGCTGGTAGACATGGCTTCTAATTTAGGGACTGATCCTGCAGTCCTTAGCTACATCAAACACTGATTTTAGTAGGCGTTTCATCTGTAATGATTGCTTTTAAAAGAACAGACTTCTAAAGGTTCTTTTTTTTATGCTACTTGTTTTTTAGTGGTTGGTTAGATTTTAGATAGAGGGGAGAGAAAAATAAAATGAACGAGGAAGGGGTTTGGGAAGCAAAATAGTGCATCTCCTCCATTGGCTGCTCCCTGCTCTATTCTAGGCAATGGTCCTAGAATAACTTTCTATTTTCTTTTAATTTAAAATAAGTTATGAGAAATGTTTTTAAAAGAAAAACAGCAGCCTCAGGGACAAGGAGGACAATCACGTTCTGGGCAAGTTAACAGCTATCTGTCTGCTGCTCTGCAATGGGCTGGAAAATCTCAAACCCATGGCACTGAGTGTCAAAGGTCTGCTACGCCACAGCAGTGAAAAACAGTTATGTGCTCATGATGTAAGCATGGAACATAAAGGCTCAAGGGTTTTATTATCATTGCCTAAATTCCTTAAACCTGAAAATATAGCAGTAATCCTGAAATAATAAAGTGTGGTGCCTCCACTTTTAAGCTTTAATTGATCTGAAGTGAAATCTTTTTCCACCTGTTTAATTTAGCAAAGTACTATACAGACATACACTAGAAGGATATTAAACTGAAACTTAAAATAACACACTGTATTCGATATTTAACTAATTATAGAAATAAGATGTGAAATAATCATTGTCCAGAAACAAAGGGAAATCCATCCTAGGATGCCCTAAAACTACTCCTTTGTACTTAATTGGAAAAGTAATGGATGTTCCAACTTCCATTTTTAACATAGGGGACAGCAGCAGATAAAATCATGATCTACATGTGCTTTGAGCTGTTCCACATATGTCCTACTTTTTACGTTTCTTCCCATGTCACACTGATTTTTTTCCGTTTAGCTACTAAACTAGTATTGTCTAGGATATTGTAGCAGGCATCTAGGTACTTGTGATTTTTCCAGACAAATTGACTTGCAAATTTTCTTCTTAGATTATAGCTAAAAGCCTACAATTGAGTTTAATTATATCCCTTGTGTAAGAGCATTGTTGTGAAAAATTACATTTACTGTTAACTTTTTTCTTTTAAAGGAAACTACCGAAATGCACATGATGTTCTTTTTAGTATGTATTCAGAACTCAAAACCCAGAAAATTAAAATTCCTTCTGAGATGGCTACAAATCTTATGATTCTACACAGCTATATTTTAGTAAAGGTAATGCAGATTTAGTGTTTTAATGAAGCAAATTCTATGCAATATTTATATAAATTGTATAGATGGCTGCTCTGTGTAGATTAATTATGCTGGCATGTTTGTTGATAGTACATACAGATGGAAGTTGGTAAATGCACTAATTACAAGAATATTCCATTTCCATTCAGTGAACTCATTGCCTATCAGTCATTTTATACCATTGAATAGCATAGTCCCAAAAGTTCCGATTTACTCAGGATAGCCCTGGGTTTCTGTTACATGGCTCGGGTCCTTGTGTTTATCCTATGCAAACGGGATCAAATAAAAATCTGGTTGTAGTTTTACAATTATTAGAGATAGCTGGGGCTGCTAAAGCCTGCCTCTCTCCTTCCTTAGATTTCATTGCTCTGCCTGTGGCTTTCCATTTCCTCACCCGGGCAAGGAGATAGCAGGCTCAAAAACAGTCAGTAGGAGCACTTTCAGCTGGCTTAGGGACAGGTCATAAGAAAATGGAGGCACCAAAGGAGTCATCCTCTGAGAAAGACCTCAGGTTGGGGCAGAGGGGGAAGAGAGATGCCCTATAAAAATGCCAGAGGATAAAGACTAGACCTGAAGAGCTCTATGTAGTTCGAAAGCTTGTCTCTTTCATCAACAGAAGTTGGTCCAATATATACCTCACTCACCCTGTCTTTCAGAGGATAAAGAGGGCTAAATAGCATTCCCCAAAACACATCATCTCCCCCTCCAGTGGCCCAAAGAAAATAAGTAGTGAGGCAGACATATAGGTGTCATAGAGCCTAGTAGAGGTCTCTATCCATAAATATTTGTGGGCCTCCCCTTACTGGTTCTGTATCTATTTTGGCAGTATAGATGGTGGAGGTTTTCAGGCGGTTAAGTTACAAAACATCAGATGTATCCCACTACAATATGTGGGCAGAGAACTTAAGTTTGTAGACTGTGTATGAGAGGAGACTATATATTTACCTTTGATTTTAGTAGAATTGCATCAGTGCACTGCCAGCAGAAAGTTTGGCCCAGCATCTTTTAGAATGGTTTGATGCCTTAATAATCTTATCAGACAACCTTTAAATCCACAAGTGATTCGCTGATAACTTGGAGGTTTGTCCATGGAAAAGTCTTACTGGCAGCTACAGGCTATAAACTGTTGTTAATAAAACCTAAAATTAATAAAAGCTTAGAGAGGTAAAGCCCAAAGGAGAAAAAGTTACAGAAGTTTGAGAAGCTACGGTAGCAAGTAGTTCTAAGATTAGCTGAAATACCAAGTACAGTATAGAGAGAGCCCTGCAAATCTGCGGATATCCACTTCATATCCATGGACCATTTTTGTGGATAATTGATCGGATGTAGATACAACCACACAGGGCTCTACTCACCTGAGGCGCCTGGCCCACGGCGTCTGGCTCGTGTAGCCCAGGGGGCGCAGCGCACTTGGGGCCAGCAATCAGTGGCTTGGGCTGGGCGGCAGGTCAGAGTCGGGGCTCTCCAGCACCCACTCGCCATGCCACTTCCTGCCCAGCAACTTGGGCCCCTCAGGCAGCACCAGCGTCCCCACCATGGACCAGCCCGGTAGCCCTGACCACGCTCCCAGGCCTGGCCATGAGGATTGTGATGCAAGATGCACTGCTGCACTCACAATGTGCCATCACTAGCGAGCCCCTGGGAGCAGCATGTGATGCAATGCCCCTTTGAGACCCCGCCCCTGCACTGCCCCTTACCCCCAAACCCCACCCTCCTACTGCCTCTTCCCTGCAAGACCCTGCCCCCGCCCCCAACTCACTCCTCCACCTCTTCTTCTCCTCCCCCCTCCCCCCCCAGCCCTTGTGAGACAGCTTGCAGCTGTGGATACAGGTAAAAGACGGCTAGCATATCGCGGGTTGATCCTTGCGGATGCGAATCCGCATTTTTTTATCCGCGCAGGGCTCTAACTATAGAGTGGCCAAAGCATTTAGTAGTTTCAGATCCTCCAAATGCTGTTGCTGTAATCTGTAGTGTAAATATACCCACTTGTTTTATTTCAGACTCATGTTAAACGTGGAGATCACATGAAGGGTGCACGCATGCTTATTCGTGTAGCCAACAACATCAGCAAGTTCCCATCACGTAAGTGCTGTCCACACACAAAAAAGCATACGAGAATTAACTATCCAGTGCATCAGACAGATACTTTCCTCTTGTGCTACTGTTATGCATATCTTTGAACAACTGTAGGCATGTAGTAAAAGTTAAACCTGTCCTGCCATGGAAAACCTGCTTTGCTACATGCCACGTAGGTATGAAGGCCTTACAGTGATGAGCGCTGTAACTCTGGGACCTTGCCACAAAACTCATCTGTCTTCTTTCAAATGTACTGCATCTTCAGTATAAGAGAGTACTGCAAGGCCAGGAAGTCTTACCATTATGGCAATCCTTGCTTGGGACAAAGTACAGTGCAAGATGCTAATGCTTGGCTCACTGTTATATAGTAGTTACCTTTAAAATTTTCATTTTTTGCTTTGGTAATTAGACATTACTGCTGTATGCCTTATACTCTGTCTAGGGAATACTGTTACCTACTTACCAAAGGTAAAATTTCTTTGAGAAACTGCTACATGCAGAATCCTCTCACATATGACAACAGTAGTGACTACATATGTCTACACCACATGTTCACTTTTCACCTGCCTACACATAGGCTGCTCTGCATGACCAGCACCAGCCAGCTACACTAACTCCTGCACTCTTGAACACATTGTGACAGAAATTATACTCGACTGTTCGCTCCCAAGTTCCCAGCCACTGATGTCTCTACCTAAGTTATCAGTCCAGAGACACTGTGAATGTTTTGCTATGAATAGAGCTATGGAAAGAGGTGAACTATGACCATATTTGGGAGAGGTGGGGGTAATCTAACAATTCCCAAGGTCATATGTTCAGTCTCAGAAATGCACCATAGTGAGAGGAAACCCAGTGACTGGGATATATTAACAGGAATGTCCTATGTAAGACACATGAGGTAATTGCTCCATTCAGCAATGGTGAGACCTCAGCTGTATTACTGTGTCCAGTTTTGGGCACCATGTTTTGAGAGATGGGAACTGATTGGAGAGAGTCCTGAGAAGCACAACAAAAACAAGAGGTTTAAAAAAAACAGGCCCTGTGAGGAAAGGTTGAAAGAACTGGGCATGTTTATTCTAGAGAAGACAAGACTGAGGGGAGAACGTAAGTCTTCAGATAGGTAAAAGGTTGTTTATAAAAAGTATAGGAGAACAGCTGGTCACATGTTCACTCAGGGTAGGACAAGAAACAATCGGTTTACTTGACAGCAAGGGAGATTTAGTTAGATATTAAGAAAAACTTTATAATTATAAGGATAATTAAGCACTGGAACAGGCGCCCTAGGGAGGTTATGGAATCCTTGTCTCTGGAAGTTTAAGAACAGGTTAAAGAAGGTGGAGTAGCTATACTTAATCCTGGCTCAGCACAAGGGGCTGGACTAGGTGACCTTTTGAGATCCCTTCAAACCCTGCATATCTATGTGGAAATACAAGTACCAAAAATCCGTGTAGCTCTGTGCCCTGAGTAAAGAATTTCTTCAAAAGCCTCTCAACCTTGTTTGCTCGATTGCTAAGGTTTTTAGCATTGCTAGTGGTAGATGAATGTTTGCCATTGTTTCATTGCAGACATTGTCCCAATCCTGACGTCAACAGTGATTGAGTGTCATAGAGCAGGATTGAAAAACTCAGCTTTCAGTTTTGCTGCTATGTTGATGAGACCGGAGTACCGCAATAAAATAGATCTTAAATACAAAAAGAAGATTGAAGCAATGGTCAGGTGAGCTAGGCTAATATGATTTATAAGGGCAGACAACAAAACAACTTTATCTGTAGCATTATTGTTCCTCCATAAAATCTACGTTTACATATTTTTTCCTTAGATATTTTTCCATAATCCTTACCTTAGGTTGGGAGGTTAATAATTTCCAGCTCCTCTAAAGACTGAGGCCCTTATTTTTCATTGTCTTGCATGTGGTATAGTCATTTACCTCTGTGCAAAGTGGATGTAAAACGCTACCAAACCCGCTGCAATGCTTTACACCCATTTTGCACAGGTGTGAAAGTCTATAGTGAATTGAACTGACAAAGTCGTAGTAGTTCTCCTATATTTGTATTTTCAGGAGTCAGTTGTTCAGCATCACTACTGTGCACAGCACTTTGTAGAAAGGTGCAAAGACAACAGTTTAAAATAAAAAAAGGGAGACGATGCCAAGGATAAATACCAAAGTTAAAAAGGCAAACTCTCAAATTCCTTCTCCCTCCCCCTTCTTTGTAATCTGTTTAGACCACAAATTCTTAGAGGCAGAGACCTGTTTTCCTAGTATAATAATACTGTATAGATAATAGTGATGGTGTGTTTATCCTACATGTCTAAAGCTCCTTGCCTGCTTTTTAGGTGCCACTGTAAACATCTCCCAGCCAGCATGTCAAACTGCTCTGCTATACTCATGACACCCTATTGGAGACAATAGGGTTACATGGGGGAAATTGAGAGCAGAATTTTTGCAACTTGTGGGAGGAGTTTTGACTGCTCTGGTCAATACAACTGAAATAGCTCATGTCCAGCCGAATAAAATCAGGGTACAAAATCTGAACCTTGCCAAATTTTATAAAATATTTTAATGAAAATGTCTAATTGTTCTCAAAGCACATTATGCTGTGACATTGGAAAGGATGTATTAAGCTAAATGGAAAGTGCTATGTAAGAGGATCAAAGCCTTTTATCTATAAAGTTCCAGAACAGAATATATCTAGAAATCACTTAGGAAAACTAATTTTAAGTGTCCCTCTCACTGCCCTCATATTAGTTATAATCTAAACATTTTATAGTAGAGTCTGGATCAGGATCCCTCACCACCATACATACTTGCTGAAAAAGAGCTTATGCACTGCAACTCCACTGAGCAGGAACTATGGTGAGTGGTGCCTAAGAAACAGTAAGATTAGATGATATTACATAGTGTATATATACACATACCATTTATTACTGGGATGTTTGAGAGATTAAGAATTCAAAATGGTGATCAACATTGCTTAATGGCAAATAAATGCTTCAAATTAAGGGCCCACTTGCAATGTTAGACAGTGTAAGGAAAATATGTGCAGTATCTAAGGGAAAATTGGTGAAGAGGGAAGGTGACAAAATATTGTTAACTGGAAACTGTACATTACTCCAAAAAATTAATGTTTTGCTCTAGAAATAAGGTGTGGTCTTATTTTTTGTGAAGGATTTCTTGTACCTAATTCAGATTCATATCTTATTTCTAGACGACCAGACACATCTGAGGCAGAAGAGCCAACTACACCATGCCCATACTGTGAATTCCTGCTTCCAGAGTGTGAACTCCTCTGCGCTGGATGTAAAAACAATCTCCCATATTGCATTGCAACTGTGAGTATTTTAAATTGAATGACAAATTCCCCTCCTCCCTGCGCGCACACCGTTTGACAATGCTTCCTTTAGTATTTAGCACTGTGTACAAGGTCTGCCTCTTCCCTCTTCTTAAAATGTCACTGTTTTGATAAGTAACATTCATCTAAATTTGTAACTGATTCAAACACATTTTATTTTTATAGTGGAATTATAAAGTGTATGGTAAGGGAAAGAAAGGAGTGTGTTTTCAATTAAGACTGCTATGCACAATGTCTGAGTTCCAAAGATGTAACATCTATGTATTTACGGAACCTTTTTAAATTAAGAGTGTACACAAGAAGGAAGCTGTCTCACTCTAAGCAGACTATCACAAAAACTGCTGCTTTGCCTGCAACTTTGTGATCTCAGGTTGGATAAGGGGGTATGCAAACAGATGACCTCACAGCTCTGGTGCCTTCTGTGTGCATGATTAGCAAGTGAAATCTTGTACCTAGAACAAACTCCAGTATAAAAAAAAAAAAGCCCCAACATTTTTGGTAAATATCTGGGACTGCTGTTTATAAACTCTTAAAATGGTAACTCAGTAATGGTCATGGTAATTGTCCCTTGCCAAAAAGAGGGGAAGAAGGGAGAATTACAAATAGCAGAAAACTGTAATGAAATTCTGCATCTTCTTATTCAGAACTTCTTAAAATCCACAGCACTATTCATGCAGCAACAAATGCAAAAATGAAGTATCCAAATTATCAATCTCATGTAATGTTCGCTTGAAAATAAAGTACAGTAGCATTAAATCTAGCCACGCTGTAGGGTATTTGATACCATTACGAGTTAGTGTCACTGTTCCGCATGAAACTTTTTAGAATTAAGATCTTTCACTGCAGAAAGGAGCAGGGCTGAAGAGTCAGAATGCTGATTAGGATGCAAATACTTACAATCGGGTTTAATCATTGAAAACTTGCACCTGCAGGGTCGGCATATGGTAAAAAATGACTGGACAGCCTGTCCAAATTGTGACTTCCCTGCCCTGCACTCTGAGTTCAAAAAGTAAGTTGGAATCTTTCCTGCTGAATAAGGATTTTTTTTTTTTTTTTTTTAAATAGCAAAGACCCTTTTCTACAGGAAGAAGCTTTAAGCCTTTCATTCTGAAGGCCCATCATTTACCCTTACCCCACACTTTCACCATAGCGCTACCTTAGCATGAACACATTTGAGTGTGTCGAATGCATGCTACAAATAGAGAATGGAGCAGCTGATTCAGTGTTGTAACCTTTCAAAGAAACTAGCAAGGGTGGAAATAGGCTTCTGCAACTTCCCAACGCTTTTCCCTCCCATCCCCAAAGAGGCAGTGCAGAAACACACCAATAGTGGCCTGAGGAGCCCCAACTATCAATGTGGTCCCCTTAAGATTCAAAGGACCAAAGCATCTGTTCCCCCACCTGACAGACACACTCTCCATAATGCTGGTTCCAGAGTAAGAATGTACCTTGGCAGAGCTTTGACCTCAGTTATTCTGCCCTAAGCAAGGGAATATCTCCTGATTAGCAGTCACAGGGAAGTAGGAGCAGTTCCTCAACTCAGTTAGTGCTTATTATTGACATTTGAACAGAACTACCTTATCAGTAGAAAGGCTTCCCTTTCAATAGTCTCTTTATTCTATAGTCTCTTTAGATTTGCATATTTTACTTTCAAACCTGAGTAGCCATAAGACTGCATATTTGATTTCTCAAATGAGACTGGAGCTTTAAATAGAATTACTAACATAGCCCATCTCCAGAATACAGTAGTGGGCTAGACAGCCTTCCAAGAGCTTTATGTGCTTTACTATAGCAGCATCCAAGAAACCCCTTCTTTCCAAATTATAAGTAGTTACAGTAGAATCTGAATTACGAACACCAAACTGACCAGTCAACCCCACATCTGGTTTGGAAGCACACAATCTGGAGCAGCAGAGACTCCAAAAAAAAGCAAATACAGTGCAGTTCTGTGTTATTGAACTAAAAAAAAAAAAAAAAAGCATTTTTCTTCTGCATAGTAAAGTTTCAAAGCTGTGTTGACTCATGTTCAGTTGTAAACTTTTCAAAGAACAGCCATAATGTTTTGTTCATACATTTCAGAGTTACAAATATCTCTGAAACCGAGGTTGTTTGTAACTCAGGTTCTACTGTAGTTGACACCTTACAACTGTCGTTTTCTCCCTCCCCACCTACTAAAATTGATAGTTCTTTCTGGCCTTAAAACCTGTTACAATTACCTAGTTTGATTGCCTGCATAGCAGACCATAGAATTTTCCCCACTAATTCCTGCATCAAGCCCACACCATGTGGTTGAAAATGGTGTCAGGAATGTAATTTGACCTGAAATATTTCTTTTAAAATAGCATGTTGCAGAGTGAAAATATATGTCCAATGTGTTCAGAAAGAGTTAGCATTGTCCATCTTAAGAAGATAGCTGACTGCACACCATATCTCAACCCAGAAGAAATGGAACAGTGAATTTATTCAAGTAAGTGCTACTGCCACTTCTAGAACAAAGCCTAGGAAGATATGCAAGAAATGAGCCAAGATACAGTGACTAGCTTAGTGAAGAGGGAGAAACAGTAACAGGAAACTTGGAAATGGCAGAGATGCTTAATGACTTCTTTGTTTCGGTCTTCACCGAGAAGTCTGAAGGAATGCCTATCCTAGTGAATGCTAATGGGAAGGGGGTCGGTTTAGCAGATAAAATAAAAAAAGAACAAGTTAAAAATCACTTAGAAAAGTTAGATGCCTGCAAGTCACCAGGGCCTGATGAAATGCATCCTAGAATACTCAAGGAGCTAATAGAGGAGGTATCTGAGCCTCTAGCTATTATCTTTGGAAAATCATGGGAGACGGGAGAGATTCCAGAAGACTGGAAAAGGGCAAATATAGTGCCCATCTATAAAAAGGGAAATAAAAACAACCCAGGAAACTACAGACCAGTTAGTTTAACTTCTGTGCCAGGGAAAATAATGGAGCAAGTAATTAAGGAAATCATCTGCAAACACTTGGAAGGTGGTAAGGTGATAGGGAACAGCCAGCATGGATTTGTAAAGAACAAATCATGTCAAACCAATCTGATAGCTTTCTTCGATAGGATAACGAGTCTTGTGGATAAGGGAGAAGCTGTGGATGTGGTATACCTAGACTTTAGTAAGGCATTTGATACGGTCTCGCATGATATTCTTATCGATAAACTAGGCAAATACAATTTAGATGGGGCTACTATAAGGTGGGTGCATAACTGGCTGGATAACCGTACTCAGAGAGTTGTTATTAATGGTTCCCAATCCTGCTGGAAAGGCATAACGAGTGGGGTTCCGCAGGGGTCTGTTTTGGGACCGGCTCTGTTCAATATCTTCATTAACGACTTAGATATTGGCATAGAAAGTACGATTATTAAGTTTGCGGATGATACCAAACTGGGAGGGATTGCAACTGCTTTGGAGGACAGGGTCATAATTCAAAATGATCTGGACAAATTGGAGAAATGGTCTGAGTTAAACAGGATGAAGTTTAACAAAGACAAATGCAAAGTGCTCCACTTAGGAAGAAAAAATCAGTTTCACACATACAGAATGGGAAGAGACTGTCTAGGAAGGAGTACGGCAGAAAGGGATCTAGGGGTTATAGTGGACCACAAGCTAAATATGAGTCAACAGTGTGATGCTGTTGCAAAAAAAGCAAAC